AATCTTAAAACATAATTCAACATAGAATGGAATTGTCTACCAAGTGTCTCTCCAGATCTTGCCACTTGATGCTTCATAATCTTATTTTTTGTATGATAGACAATAATGTGAAGGAAGCTAATTACTAGTTATTCTATTGACATATGTCTAAATGACTATAACCTCCCTTTTGTTTTAAGAAAATGAGATAATTTTGCAAAAGCCTTCCTGTCTATTTTAGTATGATATAGACACTATACATCACTCTAAAAACCATTGTGTTTAAGTTTAACTCTCTAATACTTAACTTATCGTAAGATGTTCCACCATAAACTAGTATACATCATTTTCTTACATTAATATTTAACAAAGTTACAGCAACAAAACATAACAAATGCAACAATGTCTCCATTTAGTTCAATTGCATCATAAGTAATGTAACTAATCTTATCTTTTTTCTTAGTGAAAACCCATCCATAACTGTTTAGAAGAAAGAATATTGTTAAAGTTGAAAACATAATAGAAAGCAAATCTTGGCATATGGTATATGGAATCTCACGAATATCATCAAATAAAATATAAACCACAAACAAAATATTGGAAGATTGGAAAGAGCTAAAAAATTTAACCATAAAACAAATAATATATATCAGAAATGCCTTTAATCTAGAGCTAAACGACATCAAAAAAATAAAAAATAAGTTCATTGGAAGGTAATATGGATTATACATTATCAATCAGAAAATATACTCATCGTTTTGTATAAAAAACGACAATAAACTTTAACAGGACGAAGATTAAATGACGAATGAGGAAGCTAAAATTTTTTCAAAGAGATAAGTAAATGTTATGAGCTAAGATCTCTTGAAATATAAATAAAAAATGTATTGGTCATTGAAACATGATGAAGACATCGAATAAGGCGTTCCATATATCAAACGCCATATTTGATATTTGTATTTATTAGCTCTTCTGCTTCACAATTAGATGTTAGAACGTTCATATTGTCAGAACACGGTCATTAAGAGGGAAAACAAACTTTTAATATAGGACAATTAAAGCAGTTGAAAGAAGAAGCACCTTCATTGATAACCAATTAAGGTATTTTTTTCAAACACACGCCTTAATCGTTTATTTATAGGCATATATGAAAAAAGATCATATTATAAAATTTTGATCTATGAATATAAAAAGATTAGTTTTTAATTATCAAATAAAGCTTTTCAATTGGAAAAACGCCTTAAGTAATTGATGCAAGAATTAATTGGGGTGAAATGGGAAGAATTAGACCATATTAATTGATTTATTAAAGGCCTTTTTTAGGAGAAGATGCTTTAAATAATCTTGTTCAATTTTTTTGAGATTATTTAAGGAGTTTTCTGATAAAAAAATGACTTAAATAATCTTGTTTAATTTTTTGGGATTATTTCAGGCATATTTGACTAGAAAATGCCTTAAATAATCTCCTTAATAAATTGATCAGCATTATTTAAGACATTTTTTGGTAAAAAAAATACCTTAAAATAATCCAAAAAAAAATGAACAAGATTATTTAAAGGCATTTTTGGTTAGAAAACGCCTTAAATATTCTAAAAAAAAATTCATCATGATTATTTAAGGTATTTTTGACTAGAAAACATTTTAAATAATGCTGGTCAATTTATTTAGGAGATTATTTAAGATATTTTTGGTCAAAAACACTTTAAATAATCAAAAACAATTGAGCTCAATTATTTATACATTTTTTATGCCAAACATCATTATTTGCAATATAAATTAAATTTTTTTAGCAGCATAAATCTACAGTTGATTTGCAATAACTTTCAGACATGCTTTTTAAAATAATAACAACTATTTTATAATTTTTTATTCAGATCAAATTTGAAAATAACGTAATTTTTTTTTTCGGAATTTTATAATACTACAGGGATATATGAGTTTTTATTCCGAAACTTTGAGTATTGTTAGAAATCTATCATTTTTTTTTTGAATCAGATTACTTTAAGCCAAACGTTGAAATTAAATACTTAACATTAAGATTTTGATAGAAAATACATAGATTCTTCTTAACAAAACGCCCCCTAAGGTAAACTGCAACCTCAAATGGTGGTACTCTTTTTGTTAATTATGATTATAAGTGCAAACAAAAATGACTTGTAGTGTTTTCATGGTGAAATGAAGGCTATTCTTGGTGCGGGACCATGGCTTTGGCTTTCATTTTGGAGTAATGCTCAATTTGCTATTTCTGAAATCTGAAATCCTGAAATCTGGTGCCTCGTGGGATGGAACAGGTAGAGTCGTGGACATTTTGAATTAATCAAACTTCGTGATACATATTCTTGTACGTACGTTGGGTAATGCTATCAGAATAAGTAAGATCATCGAAGATGATGGAAGTCAATTGGGAACTGAGGATGTGGCTAATTGTGAAGAACAGTGAACAAATGATGAACTACTCAAAAGGGTTAAATGCCCGAAATAAGGAAAACTTGTTCAGTAATCTCATATCAAATCCGTCTGGCTGCAAAAAAAAAAAAAAAATCTCACATTAAATCCCACAGCAAATTGATATACTAGCTAAGCTACAGTCTGATTCAGACTAAACCAATGATCCTATAACTAATCCTGAGATTGATCCCATTGCATGCTCTATCATGAATTTGATTAATTAGAATTAGAAAAAGATGCTAGAAATACGAACTCCAATCATGAAACAGCATATTCGTTCCCCCTTTTTCCTGTCATTAGCTGACAAGCTGAAAGTAAAAGGCAAGGGAAAGGTAGGAAAGGGTTATTAATAAAGTCTTTTTTGCACTGTTTCCAAAGTATAAAGGCCAAAAAGATGCAATGGGAAGAAGGTTTTGAGGGCGACAAGCCCTCCCAGAATCCATTCTTTACTTTGCAATGCCCACACAGTCCCAACTTAAACTTGATATAAATAAACAAAGTGAAAAGCACCATCCGATAGTTATGGAAAAGACACCAAAGTTTTATTAAAATCGAAATTGAAGAAAAAGAAAAAAAATGAGGAAAGTTAGCATTAATGGTTGCCTTTACTACACCGGCTGCTATATTTTTTTTTTCCTTCAAATTGGAGTGTATTCCACGTATACTAAAGGCCAAAATAACGTTATAATTAAACTCAGATAAGATTTATTCTTTTTCTTTAAATAATGTATAATATTTTAAATATTTTAAATTTGATTTGAATCCATAAGACATTATCTTTAAATTAAATTTATTTAAATCAAAATTTATTTTTTTATTTAATTTATTGATGTAAAACACTAATATTATCATATCGCAATTTGTGTTCATAAATTAAAATTAAAATATATTTTTGTAATTTTTATTAAATTTATATATAATTTTTGTTAAAATCTAAACCTTGTACTTTCATATTAAAGTTCACAGTCCAATTTTAAACTTCTAGCTAGTTGTCAAGCCTTGATTCTATTATGCTTTTGATCTCAAATGTATTAGGAATAGTGAATTCAATCTTATAATAGATTTATTTGAGATTAATTATATATTATTTGATGGATAAAAACATTTATAAAAAAATAATTTAAAAAAAATAGATTTTTAATAAGTAAGTTTATATGTTTATAAATAGATAAAATTTTTATAAATTTAAGTATGAGAAAAAGATGTAAGAGAGATAAGATTTTATAAGATAGACATTTCATAAGACTATTAAATATTTACATCTTATAAGCATATATATTTGAATATTTGTTAGTAGATTAGAGGAGAACGAAAGGGTTTTGTTTGAGTTGAGAATATTTTATAAGATTAGAAGAGATTGAAAGTTTTATAAATATTAATTATTAGTGGTTGAATTGCTATATGTTTGTAATTTTTTACATCTAATACATTATTTTTTCATCTATAAACATAAGTTAATTGATTGAATCACATTAAATTATTATTTTTGTATAATTAATTAATCATTTGATTTTATTTTTATTGGCATGAATGTTCAATTGGATTAGAGATTTTTTGCGCAACAAAATGCACATCCTAACCGAATGTATCTCACTGACAATTTCTTTTATTCTAATCTTATAATTACCAAATTAAAATAAAAAATTACATAAAAATCTATTATTTATAAATATAAATTTCATATAAAATATTGATATACTCTTGATAATTTTAAATTTTGATTGATTAATTATAATAAAATTATTGTCCTATCCTAACCAGAGTTATCATTGATTTCCGAGAATTGGAATCGAATTGATTGGAGTTGTCCAAATACAACGAACTGTTTTGTCGGTAATGGACTCTGGAAAGATGGGGAACAAAGATAAAGGAGGTGAGGACAAATGTTTCTTAACAGGGTAAAGTGTTTCCAAACTATTTTTGTTAATTGAAGGACGTATTCATGGGTTTTCATATTCGAATTTTGGTCACACTTTGAATAATGTTTTCTGTTGGCCACATTGCATTTTCCTTGTGCAGGATTCGTACTACAATTAGTAGAATATTTTGATCCAATCAGAAGATTTTGCACAAGAATTTTCAATTCAAGTAACACGTTGTTGGTTGCAATTTCGTGAATAGAAAATTCTGGTGCAAGTTTAGCAAACTGATGATAACCCAAACACAAGATTGCATTATTCCACCATGTGGCTGCAAGCTTTGCATAAGTGGAGTCTGACCCTACCATACATGAATTTTGGTGAAAGTTAAAATTTTAATGGTGAATATATTAGTCATGATTTTCAACCTTGAAGACAATACAAGTAATCATTCTAAAAAATGGCTTTGAAATATAATTTCTAATTCAGTAAGCAAACAAAAATTTTTTTTGTACAAAAGAAGCCATAATGTGAAGATAAAAAAAATTATAAATATTAAAATTTGAATTCTAAATTTATTAATTTATTGGATGTCATTTATAAAAGTAATTATATAAATTAATTGAATTAAATTTTAGACGAAATTTTTGATTGTTGAAATATTCTTGTATATGTACATTACTTCAACGCCTGCCTATTTTATCCCCCTAATTATACCTTAAATATTCACAATTTTTTTAGTTCTCTGCTATGTGCTTTCCTGCAACGGGAGAGACTGTTCCAATGAGTCTGCCTGGCTGCAGTTAACCGTTTTCTGCTGTGTTTTAGTCAGGCAGTGCCTGCATGTAGGGCATGAAGAATGTGAACTAAGCCACTGATCGATACAACAAACATGAAATCCGTGGTTGCACTTCGGCAAAATCCGCAGACGTTCCCCAGCAGCAAATTCCGACAAGCATATAACACAAGCTTTGTCCAAGCCAGGCAGTTTCAACTCGGTTGTGTATTTTACGGTTGGGAAGGCCTTTAAGGCTTTCTGCGCAACTCCTGCATTAGATAACTTAGCTGAAGGGTTCGCATCAGATTCAGCAGAACACTTGACAATTAAAAACAACCCCAAAGAAGAAATCACGCTGCATATGAGGACTGAGAGCACAATGATTACATTTGTATGGAAGTTGTTATTGATCAAGGTATAACTGTTTTCTTGAGCTGGGGAAATTGCTGGGGATTCTGTTGGATAAAGAGAGGAATGTGGGAGAAATTTTCTTGGATGAAAGTTTTCGAGTAACTCTTGGGAGACTTGGATGGGTGTTGAAGAAGTTGACATATTTAATTCCGTAGTGTTTTATTTCAGATGGCTGAACTACTTGTTCTACTAGTTGGCTCCATTGAAGGATTATATATACATGAAAAAGTTAATCAAAAGAAGGGCCAGAGTCTTGTATTTTAAGATTAAGGGAGCCATCAGCCAAGTAAGTCTGAGAATAATTCTTGAAACCCACTCCAAAAAATTATTTTGGACTTGAACAAGTTTGATCCCTACTAGCTTTTTGTAGATCAATATATTATCTTTTTCTAATGGAAAAGGCGAATACAACTTTTCCGGAAGCAAAAGGTGCCACGTGGCAGTTCCATCCATTCTTCTCATCAATGGATGCTCAATTCTGATGACCCTTCGCCAAACTAAAGAGATGACTTTGGAAACTAATAGACCCTTTCTCTGCATTCCTCAAGAGGACAGGCGTTTTGATTTCATTATTTGGCATTTTCTATTAACTATTGATTAATCTTGTTAAACTGATCATTGAGGTAAAAGTTCTCTGTAAGAGATTGGATATGAACTTCATGCCCCTTTCTTCTTTTTTTTTTTTTCGCTATGTATGGATTTCGAATCTAGAGATATGAATCTTTACTGCTGTAACACGTAACTGTATAGATGCAGAAGGAGACAAGTAGGTATGATAAATTTTGTATTTTTGTTATATAAAATATTGATAATTATATATTTATATATATTTTGTATGAAAATTATATGTTATAATTTATATATTTTTATACTGTGTTATTATCTTTTAATTTGTTAAATCTAAAGATAAATTTAATAAATTACAGAGTACCATAAGTCTTTTTATATTTTGATATTTAGTAATTAATTAATTTTTTAAGTGTTACTAAGTAAATTAATTAAAATTGTATAAAGTTGAGATAAAAGACGAAGATACATGATTTGACAATCAAATTTAAAGACTCGTATCAACTAATCAAAATTCGTGAATGAGTAATTTTTTGTAGCTCTAATTAATTTAATTAAAGATAAAAAAAAGATGATTTATAGTCGAATCTTGATTAGTTGAATTATTAGTTTTTAAATTTTAATAGATCAAATTATGAGTTTTTATTTTGATTTATCAAGTGATTTGATAAATTTTTAATTAATTTATTTAATAACAATTAAAAAATACAATTAATCACCAAATAAAATTAAAAAAATTAAAAGGACTTGTATCGCTTTGTAATTGAACAAAAATTTTCTTTCTTTCTAGAGTAGCCACAGGAAACTTTGGAATATGTGGAACAAAGGGTGTTTATAAACCTGATGAAGCCAAAGCACCGAGCACAATGTTATAAATTTATTTTGAATCCTTAAAGGACCATGATAGGGACAGTAGCGGAGTTGGTTTCTAATCAGCAAATAAAAAGTACTATTTGCTGCCATTGCATATTTATTCGATCAACTTGTATGGCGTTGTGCAGGCCAGGTTTACAACCATAAATTAACAAATATTTTTACAGGGAAAGCTCAGCAACCCTACCTGTCACCGATGTATAGGTCAATGATGCTCGAATATATTACAACGCAAGTTGGCTTTTGCGATGGTTCGTGTTAGCAGTTGACTGATACAGATTGCTTGCACTTTATATTAATTTTTGGTGTGTCATCAGAAATCTACAGCCAACTCGCTGGCGGATAAGATCGATGTGGGTTTCTAGATCCATGTTCTTTAATTTGTTTATTTTGCTATCACATCAAGTCATTATCTTTCAGCCATGCAAGTAGTCTGATTTCCTTTGCTCAGGAAAAGAACTAAAATAAATCAGCTTTTACATGTGGCTCCAATTAGAGCAGAATTTCCTGTGAGATCTTTCAAAAACACTAGTGTTATTATTTTTATTGCCAACTTGGTCCTCCATGAAAGCAATAAAAGGTTAAAAAATCTATCAGGAAACAGCAGTTGTTACTTCGGAACCGTCTATCCAGCATGTAAAGTACAAGGAAATATTATAGATTTTGGACAAAAGTTGTCAAAAGAAAAGTGGGAATACTTCTTTCTTTACTTTTCTACCATGTTTGTGTGTTTATATAAAACTGATCAAGGATAGGCTAATCCTAAAGCGCGGATTTGTTTCTGTTTCATGCCAGATGGACCACTAAATGAATCCATATCCTGTGGGTTGGATTGCACAAAAGTTGGAGAGAGAAAACGAAAAGAATCACGTTTTATTTGGATATCTGTAAACAAATATTACATGTTACAAGTGGCCATGAAGTACTACATGAAAATTGAAGTGATGCTATTTGCCAGCAAATTTGGAGTAGATATCCAAAATTAATGGTTGTGCTTTCTACAGGAAAAACACCATACTATGGATGTAGTAGGTTCTTCTCATCTGTTGACTCACAACAGTCAAGAAATGCTGAGTACTTGACCTGCAGTCAGTCCAAGGACTTGGTGATCAGTTCCACAGAATCCGAAATCATCATGTGGGCATACCTTGGGGCAATTAAGTTATCGTTTCACCTTACGTACTTCAGTAACAACATCGGATTTGGTTAAAAAATATCTTCTTGGCACATGTTTTTTGGTAGTTCAGTCTAATGAAAATCATTTTCCCTTGCAATATGCTAAATTTAAACAATTCTTGTATATATGGCACAAATCTGGCCATTAGTTTTAGCAGAAAACAGTCCTAAGTTTTAGGAGGATTTGTTTGATCAATATGTTTTGGGGGTATTGCCTTGGAAAACATGGATGGCTTTAGTTTTTTTATTTAAACATGCGCTTCAGGATCCAAGTCTGAAAGCATTTCGAGAAGGGTCCCATTTGTCTCTTTTGAAGATTAAAAAAAGCAAACAATGAACAAGATAGAGCATGCTCTGGTCTTTTTATTCTTTTTATTTTTTTATTTTTTATTAAAAGCAATGAGTTGGATAATATCATTTGAAAATATTCTAGAAACAGATACCTGTAACATGCACAGTAAAAGGGAAAATTGCATAAAAACATCTTCTAAAAACATCTTATGGTTTGACGCAGATTGAAAATACCTTATGAGATTTAAAATCTGGCACTTAATCAGCCTATGTTGTGCTTCCGTTTTTACCTACATCGATGACGTTAACTCTTAATCACCTGAGTACGATAGCTAGAAAAACTTTAATGATCAATCGATTTTTTGTTTTTGCAAATAAAATTGATGCATGGGTTCAGCAAAGGTATGCTTAAATCAAGTTCTACAGTTTTTAATTGCATTAAAAATGGATTAAAACGTGACAATTATGAAGGAAAAGCAAAGAGACCCCAACGGGTCAAATTGTGTATCAGTCAGGTAGAGCACAACCCGGTTAGAGGTAGAAGAAGACTGGACAAGTTTACCTTCTTTTTAATTCCTAATTACCTTCTATTAATGTTCCATAAATCTATAACACTATCCTCAATCTTCCCAAGACCAACAGCGCCATTAATCTTGTTCTCAAGGACAGCTTGAAACCCAGCATAATAATAATATTCCCATGAATGACTCATCAAGCAAAAATTTTGGATTTACAGTAGCGGGATCAATTCCAATAGACATCAAAGCTCTATCTCTTTCAGCTGCAGAAAGATCCAACCGGAGACACTCAATTTCCAATTTCATTGCTTCAAGGAAGTCTAGCTTTTCCACATTGATAAAGAAGCAAGCAGCCGGTAAGAAAACATTTTTCCAAAAATTCGCCTGAGCCATAAAGAATGTGGTGGAGTGCTACCCATCAGTTGCCATGTTTGAAAATCAAAATTTATTTTAGCTTAAAAATTTTCCTGAACCATAAATAAGCAGGCAACGGGTAAATTTTGCTGGAGCACTTTTACTTAGCTTATGCCCATCAGCTATCATGTTTGATAAGGAAGGAATGAAGAAAATAAAAAAAATTAAAACAAAATGGAAAGTGAAGAAGACAATCACATGACCCTCACGTGATTAAGAGTTAATGGCATCCAAGCGTATGCTAACAACGCATATGATTAGGTGTCAAATTTTAAATCTAAATAAGTACTCTACTCTGCCACAAATCACATGATGATTTTATATAATTTATCGATTATAAAACCATAATAAAAATTTATAAATTAGACGAGACTTATATTAAGATTTTTAAGTACAGTTTATGAAAATTTCATTAAAAATAATTTAATAAAAATTAAAATCAAAAACTAAAATCAAGATTTAAAATTGAATTGATAGAGTTTTTAAAAAAGATTAATAACATATAAAAAAGAATTAAAGTATCATTTATAATTTAAATTGCTGAGTAATTATTTAAAAATAAAAATTTTATCAAAAATTTTAATAAAATACTTATCTTAAAAATATATTAAATTTTTTAATTTTTTTTAAATTTGCACGCTTATTTATATAATAAAATCTTTCTATCTATGAATTTTTATTTTTAAATTTAATTTTTATTAAATCATTTTTAATAAATAATTTCATAAATTTTACCCAAATCTTTCTCCGAAAATTGGTGTAAAAAATGCGGAAAGTTGCTTTAGCCAACAGCTTTAGGAATTAGAATCCCTCCCAACTCCCATTCATTATCATGCATGAACAATCTATGAAATTTCAGGTCCCTTTTGTTATCATTTAATTGATCGCTTTACATGTACTCATTCATAACCAAGAATATGGTCCGAATGAGGAGATCAAATATGCAATGGAGGCGGCCAATTCCAGACAGATGAACTTCCGATGAATTAAATTGGCAAATTAGTATTTAAAAAATGAGATAAATTTAAATAACAAGTGTTATGAGCATCTTATCTCTCTTTTGGTGCCTTCGTTTTGTCGTTGGCATTGGAATTTATCTCGCAAGGCTCAAGATAAAGCAAAATAGGGTCTCCATAATACGGTTAACTAAAGTTGTGTTTTCAGTTTCTTTGCTTTCCCTTTTGCTTTTCTGCTGGGGCCTTCTTATCAGGCATCTCTAACTAGTCTTGCACACTAATAAGCGAGAGGGAACTGTTTTTCTTTTTTTTTTTTTTAATTTGAAATTGTCAGGATTTGAGTTCTGATTATTAGAATTAAGAGTTGAGTAGTCTATCAACAAATAATGTGACTTTTTAATCAACTTTCCACCATCAAATGTCTTTCTTAACGGAATTTTAAGGGGGGGAGGAAGATTATTAACTGTAGTAGAACAAAGTCCCTTTGAAACGAAGTTCATTATTGATATATAGTACACAACAAAATATCTTACAGTAAGTTGATCATTAAACTAGCTTAGATGAAGGGAATATTGGGCAGATCCCTTTATTGTATTTGAAGATTGAATAACTCAATATCCCATTGGCTCAATGAAATTAATAATGGAAAAAAGAGCGTTTAAAAAGGTTGAACTTCAGGTGAAGCAGCATCCATGAAAATGTTGGTGGTGAAAGAAGTTGATTCAGATCTCTTCCAAAGTGATGTCTGCAATTCTCAGCTTAAACTATGTTCACAGCAGCTTGTTTTTTGTTCCTTGGCAAGTTAGGTTTGCTTGATAAATTGAACTTGCCCAGGCCACTAGCGATAACAACAATGTTGTCAGTTTAGTGCCTTTTAAACTCCAAATTGAGCCCCCTTATAGAATATAGAACCTTCAGAGTGCCCAAGGGCTTTCCATTGGCCAAAAGAACAGAATCATACTCATCTAACGCCCCTATAATCACGTACCATACTTTCAGGTTCCAGTGGCAAAAGATTTACAATGCTTTCCTGAGCTGGAAGACATGATTCCGATGAGCCAGTTTGGTTACACCCCATGATTTTTTGGCATGTTTCAATCAAGTAATGCCTGCATTTTGGGATGAAGAGTGTGACTTAAGCCACTTATCAATGCAACAAACATGAAATCCATGGTTGCATTGGCACAAGCTTGGATAGGCATATGACACATTCCGTGTCCAGCCCTGGCTGATTCATCCCTGCTGAGTAATTTACCACAGGAAAAGTCTTGAGGGCTTTTTGCTCGATTCCTCCGTTGATTGTTGCAGCTGAAGGGTTGTCATTGGACTCGGAAGCTGCCCTGGTTGAGCACCTTAACGCACATCTGATAATGAAGTTCAACCCCAATGAGCAAATTACGGCACAGAGGAGGACTGATAGTACCATGAAAACATTTTCATCTAAGTTGGTGTTCTTAAGAGTAAGTGGGAGGTGCTGCTGTGACTGGTTGGTTGGGAGGTTTGTAATATAGCAGTAACTTTCTGGGTGAAAGTTTGCAAGAAAATCTTGCAAGAGTTTTGAGGACCTAGAAGAAGTTGAATTCATCCTTTTAGAGAGTTTGGATAAAATTAATTGCTAGAGCAGTCAAACGATGGAGATTTTATATGAGGAGAGGTAGTGTTCAACAGATCATTGATTTTATCTGTTACTTTTTCTATATATCAGCATCCAATAAGCCTCTGCCTGTTTCCAATTCCAAATCAGAACCCACTAAGTAAATGACTATCCTAAATATGCCCTGGAGCTGGATATCATGTCACATCTTTTTGTTATTATTGATTAATTTGAATTAAATCTTTTTCCCAAAAATGTGACAATTTGACAATTTCCTTTTTTTTTTTGTTTTCCTTTGTTATATATTAGAAAAAATTTTCATACACACTAGTATAAAGATATGAACTCTATATTTATTAGATATCATCTTTTAATAGAATAAAATGATGCACATTAGAAGTATATATTCTACAATACTTAGTATCAAGCTCGAATCACATATATGCTTGTTGTTGTTGGTTTTTATCCGATCACAGTTAGACACTATGATGCACCCCAGGGTCCATTTCTAACTCTCCAACATCACACAACCAAACAAAAATCCTTTGCATTTTCCATGAAATCAAGTTTGTGCTCTTCTCGCTTTGCAAGTAGTCTGATAGCCATCTGTTGAGTTCCAATTACAAAAAGGCCTGTCTTGTGGCCTAAATTAAAGTGGCATAATCTATGAGATCTTGCAAAAATCTGTGATACAATAATTAAGAACAATAACTTAGTTTAAGATTTTGAATTAAAAACAGTCAGCTATCCATAATCTCTCTGTTCACAACTGAGCCAATACTAAAAAAAAAATACTCTGCTTTGCAATAAGATTGATGCTGCCACTATACATACAAAATTAAAGTACGAAAACATAAAGGAAAAAGGTATGTAGCATAGTTTCCCCTTTTAATAATCCATCTAACAACAATCTTAAGCCATAGCCGAATCAGGTGTGTTTTGGACAGTCCATTTTTTTTATACAAATTTAATTAACAATGATAATAAGTAGTAAGTTGTAGAATATGATTATCATAATCAAGAGTTTAATTAAATTGATTTATATAATCATATTTAAAATATGACATTTAATAAGTCTAATATTTAAATCTCAATATTTACAAATATTTTTAAACTATAGCATCAGTAAATATATATATATATATATATATTCCTTTTCTTTATCTAACATTGAAATTATCCTTGGAAGATTTATAATTAAGTCTAAGTGGACACATTAAAAGTGTATAAATATGCTGTAAAATTTTTAAATTCAACTACTGCCTACTCATGTTTAGGATTATGATACAAGAACTTATCAAAAATCAAAGTTGTACATTGTACATTAATCTATAAAAGGAAAACGCTGGCATTGAGTTTTGAGAGAAAATATAAAAGAAAATGATAGGAGAAACCATAAGAAAATACAGTCTAGGCTTGGGCTTGGGCTTGGGCTCACAGTTGTAGAAAAAGATCCCTAAGGGCTAAGGATTCCACAAATATTCTTCATTTGGGTTTTTTACATGTCTTGTTGGATTTCAACTCCAAATTAGATTTTGAGTTATAATTCTATTCTTCATGGGAGGGATTGTATATGTCTTATATAAATAAATAGGCAAAGGTTGCTACTTAGTTGGACATCAGCAACAAATTCTAAGACCCTACAAAAGGAAGGAAGAAGCGTGAATCCACTTGTGAGTGAGGTACCTAAATCTTTGATCTATAATTTTCTTATGATAAAATCCTTTTCTTTTCTGTTGAATAATAATTGTTGTTATTAGATTTCAAATTCAGTAGGAGAGAGAAAATTCAATAGCTCCAAGAAGATAATAATCAAACACATAGACACACATACACACACAAAAACAACTACCAATGATTTGGGCTTTGTTTATGCACACAAACCAGAACTAGGACCAGTCCAATTGGGATTGAAAATAAGGTAGCCCAGATAAAATGAAAACAGCCTCGCAACCAGGAGGAGGAGCTGACCAAGTAAGGAGGGCCCAGTGATAACGTGGCACGATCAAGCTGGGATGTTAGCTTCCGTGGGGTGGGGCCCCATCCTCTTCCCATGCTACTAACTTCACCAAGAAGAGCTCTTTTTCTTTTCCTTTCCCCTTAAAAAAATAACAAAACCAAAAAATTTTACAAAACTTCACTATTTTTACAAAACAAGGAGAGAAGCCACTCAAAAAGGAAAAAACCATGATTCAATTTTCCCTCTGTTAACAAACTGGTGAGTTGGCTTCCCTTTCAGTTTCCTTTGCCCTTTTTTTTTTTTCTTTTACTTTTAATGTTGCTTTGTTTTATATTTTTCTGTCTTGCTATTTTGAGCTTTGCTTTGAAAGATCTTCAATCTTGCAAAGTTGATTTCTGGGAACAGTTTGACGGATGACGAGAAGAAAAACCCAAAAGGCAAAAATAAGATTAAAAAAAGAAAAAAAACGCACGCGCCCAAACGTGTTTCTTACACAACCAGGCCAGGTTAATTATAGAGAACATAAGAAAGCAAGAGTCTAAGCTGTTTTTTTTTTTTTTTTTTTAATTTAGTTTTCCCAGTAACTTAGATTTATGTTTAATATAATATTTGTATAGCTGCTTGTTGTATGTATTTTTAGCTACTTGAATTGCTATTTTCACTGGTTAATTTAGTTCCTTTCAAGTTATTTCTTACTGGGTTTTTATCATGAATGAGCTGTTCATTGTTTCTTATGGCTTTTCTATTTGCAGTGAGATGCTCTCCACAGGTGTTTCAAGTTTAAAATCTCAATTTCCCTTAAAAAGTTTGAGTGTTCCACTTTTAGCTAATTTTAAAATATATATATATGGCATCATCTCATATCAATACTCACACTAAAGCAGCCAAAATGGAGCAAGTTATCACTGAATTCTTCTATAAAAGTCTTCTTATAATACTTGAATCGAGGTCTCCTTATGTGTCATCACGTAATTATAGTGGTGAACAAATTGTGTTGTCTCCGTCTTCATCCTCATCGTCTTCGTCAAGTGTGAGACCTAGAGATAAATGGTTCAATTTAGCTCTTAGGGAGTGCCCTTCAGCACTAGAAAATCTTGATCTTTATCGCCAGAGTAATTTTGACCTGGTAGTGGTTGATGTTATATTGGAGCAGAAGCCACTTGATTGGGAACCTCTGACTGTTTCCCCCAAAAGGGATCTTGTTAGGAATTTGTCCTCAAAAGATAAGAATTCATTTTGCTGGAATTCTGATCAAGAAGAATTAGGCACTGAGACAAAAAATGAAAAGATTATAGAAAGATGGTTTGTTCAGCATGAAAGTAGAAAGGGCAGGGATAGTAGTTCAGGGAGTAGAAGGTCAAGTAGTAATAATTTGAGTATGTTATATAAGAAATTGATATTGCTGTTGAGGTCCTTATATGTGACTGTTAGGCTTTTACCTGCATACAAGATTTTTCGTGATCTCAATTCTACTGGTCAAATTTGTGCCTTTAAGCTTGTTCCCAGAGTATATTCTTTTGTTGAACCCTTCACTCCTAAAGAAGAGGCAGAAATGCAACGATTTTGGTTCACCCCAGTGGACACTTCTTGTGGAAGGCTTTGCCTTTCAGTTTTGTACGGTTCTTCAATTTCAGATATAAGCTCTAAGCCATCAACCCCTATGACCCCTCAATTTATACCAGATTATGTTGGAAGCCCTTTGGCAGACCCACTGAGGAGATTTCCCTCTCTACCTGTGTCGCATGGCTCTCCATCATCTTTGCCATTCTCAAGAAGACATAGTTGGAGTTATGACCATTACAAGCCTTCACCGCCTTTGGTTTCTTTCTCACCATCACCAACACATTCAGAATCGCATGCTTCAATTTCTAACCCAAGCTCTCGGCATTTGCCACCTATGAGTTTACCTCGTCATCCTCATGAGGCATCACTAGCTCATAAGAAGAATACAAACTTTGATGAGTATTGTCCTTCCCCCAATTTCTCCGCTTCCCCTTCCCCCTCCCCCTTACCATCACCCCCCATCCACTTTCCTGGAAGTCATATGTCAAAAGCTCTTTTACGTTCTGAAAGTGCTCCTGTTAACATACCTGCTCCTATTGCTAATTTCCCGGCATTGTCCTGCCAGAGAAATTTGCCACCATCGCCTACCCATAAAATTACAAGAGCTGGTACTTCTAGGACTGATAATAATATGGGTCCAGTTCAAACTGGTGCAACTATTGAGAAGGTTTTTCTTATACACATCATTGGTATGTTTTTATATCTAGTGTATCTTGTTTTGCTCCTTGGAATTTATTTATCCTTTTGTCTCTTGCAGCTGTTCTCTTTCGGAAAAGAAGACTGTCAGAAATATTCTGGAGTGAAGGTCTCTTCCAACAGTTCACCACGAATTTCATTTTCCAGAAGTTCCAGTAGGTCTTTACAAGATGATTTTGATGACTCTGAGTTTCCTTGTCCATTTGATGTGGAGGATGATGATATGGCAGACCCTGGTTGCAGGTAATGCATAGAACTCCTCATGTAAATTGTATTTTTAAATTAACCCTTTTGCATCTTTTGCGGATGATTCCAATGCATACAATTAAGTTACGAGTTTTACTTTTAACTACCTAATGTTATTTTTATCTTGGTGTCTTGAGGGTTTGACATCTTTCTGATTGTTCTCATAAATTTGAAAACCATGGCATCTTTTTTTTTCTCTTTGGGTCTTAACAATTATTGGTTCAGGACTTGATTTGGTTTTTTTAACTTACCCTGGAGTAATGTCTCTATGCTGCTGTGTCCTATTGCTCAAAATGGTATAAACTTGGTAGAAAAATAAGCCATCATGTGCATGCTAAGAGTAATAATTCTCCTTTTTGTGTGAATTTTGTCTTCAACTAGTTCTGATCTCTCAAGACAAGATGTTAGCATTACAATTGATGAACTTTCTTGGAAACTGAATGATCATTCTTCAGTGAAGAGACTGCATTATAAATATCAATAACTAGCTAGTAGGAGTCTAGGTAGTGGAATCTCTGGTTTAGGAATCGGGATAAGTATCTGTTTATCATCTAGGGAGAGTTACCAAATAAAGTTTGCTTTCTAGTTTTGAGAAAGACAACCTGGCTGGCATTATAAATTTCAATGTCTAGTCTAGATAGTGGCTGTAGTGAAATATCTGGTTCAGTAATAGGGACAAGTATCTGTTTATCATCTATGGAGAGTTGCCAAATAAATTTTGCTTTCTAGTTTTGAGAAAGAAAACCTGGCTGGCATTATAAATTTCAATATCTAGTCCAGGTGTAGCCATAGGCCCGTAGTGGAATATCTTGTTAAGGAATAAGTATAGCTAACTGTTTATCATCTATGCGGAGTTACAAAATAAAGTTTGCCTTATAGTTTTGAGAAAGACAGCCTGGCTGGTTAACTTTAAGATATTTAATTGATAGAAGACGTTCAGTCGTTTTACGATGCTGAAGTTTATAGTGTCAGTTGTATTTAGCAAAAAGCAGTGCTAATCCTAATTCAGCTGCTTCTTGTAATGTGCAACCAGTATTGGTGTATGAATCATATTTGTTTGTATATCTTTAATTTAACAATATTTATATAAGGAAAGTAGGAATCTGTCTTTGGGTTACAAGGTAGGATTGGAGGCCAATTTTTGTATGACTTGGCCTTGCTGTTGAGGAAGCCGAAACAAAAGCTGCCTTACTTATTCTCCTTGTTCATTGGTGAATAAATTAAATTATTCTAAAGATGGGTCATTAAGAGGAGGCCAAAAAAAAAGATGGGTGGTTAAGAATTTCGTGTTATTGACTGAAGAATGTGGTGGTTGCAGAAATGTTCTATATGTTCCTTCTTGCTTGTCAGTAATTTGATCCTTTCAGTTTGTTATGAGTTAAAGGAAAGCTAGCTTGTTAAAGGACAAAATTCGTTTGAGTTAACCTACATGATATTCGAATTAGGGAATAACTTAAATACTTGTTAGTTTCTCGGAGTTTTTTAATTATTGAGATGTGGGGCTTATGGATAATTGAAAATTTTATATTTTAGTTATTGGAGTTGGATCTTTCTTTCGTTATTTCTCCTTAAGTTCTTCTGTTTCTTTCACCTTTCCTTCTGATTCTCCATTTTTCTTGCTTTCTCCCCTTTCCGCATTCTTTCCAATTTCAGAAAATCTTAAAATGACTGATTGGAATTTGGGACATTTTCTTTTCTGCAATTGTTAGTTGGGAATGTTCCCTCAAGAAGATCCTTTAATCATTTAACTTAAGTAGGGTCCTTAATGGACCATATGTTCTCTATCATGGTAATTTGTCAATACATAATCTTAATTGGTACTGATTCATTTTGCTGGAAATGGCTGGATCGTCTTGTTTTACCTCTAAAATGAATTTGCTGCCTAAATTTTTTGAATTATTTGGGTAAACTGAATTGACCTGTTTTGCATACTATGTAGACCCGAGTCTTATGATAGAAGAGCACATCCGTCTGATCCAAATGAGGCAGGACTGTTTATGAATAGAAAATCCCAAGTTGCTGCAGTTGGTGCTCTTGTACGTATGCTGAAGAAAGCGCCTCCTCTTCGCCAAGACATCTCCAGTTCAATTAATTTTTCAGAAGCCTCCAGGCCAGAAATGTGGAGCAACAGCATGCAAGAGCAAAACCAGATCTCAGAGGCTGTAACTGTTGAACATGCTGCTTCTTCAAGTATTGCATCTTCTAGGCTTGTTGCATCAAAGACAACGGCTGATGCATTAGAGGAACTTCGAGGTTACAAAGAAGTGAAAAACCTGTTGCTTGGTGAAGGTAGTAAGTCGTGCACCTCTGCCAATTATGCCTCTGGAGCTGAACATTCCAGCCAAGGTCCAAGAGAATTATGAACTTCCACAATATTGGTATATTTGCACATATGTACAGTGCTGTGGTTCGAGGAGATCTATACATGCTTTACTGCTGAAGCCAATTGCCCCCTTATGTGTAAATTAAAGTATATATGATACAAGTTTTTGGATAAGATTTATACTCCAACAGAAGTGTCATCTGTTGGCCTGGAAGACTTTGTAAAATGAACTTTTTTTTTTCTCTAATCCTACATTAGTGTATATAACTTCTAGATGTTGGCTTAGAGCGACGCATACAAACATACAGGCTACATATGTACATGGTAGTACAACAAACATACTATTATCTTTTACTTGCTCACTGATGCTGTCGTCCATATTATTTCCCTCCTTTCATTTGTTTTTCTCCACCATATATAGATTTCCGGCAGGATGCTTTAGCCTTTTGTGAATTCCATGCACAACATATTGCACCTTTGAATGTCAGTCCATAACGGAACTGTAATTGCCCGACTGTCAAAATGCCTGACCAGCAGAATTGAAAATCTCAGTCCGCTGTCTTGTATATATATATATATATTACTTTCTTTTTAATACAAATGAGGCCACAATTTGAATATAAAAAAAAAAAAAGTCGTGGGTGTTGTGATTTAAAATCCATATGTATGGAATGTTATCTTGTACAAGTAATTATATAAATTAATTAAATTAAATTTTGGAGTTCATATTTTTTACCCGTTTATATGCTATATCTTTTACTTATTTATTTGTAAGTAATCCAAGGGGAAATTGTTGTGCTCCAATATAATTGTTTTCCCGAGTTTGCTATTGAATCTTGTTTAGGTGTTTGATTTTGTTTGTATTTTGATAATTTTCTAGATTTGAGAAAATCTTTCATGTCCTAATTCAGGCAAACATCAACCTTTTCAATAAAGAACTGATAATAAGTTCAAATTTGTCTTTGGTATAAAGCAAACAGCAGCATAACAGACATTCCTTGGCTTCCATAGAAAGGAAACGGAAAACGTTTTTAGAAGGAAACTCCCGTTACGAAATTTATGGATTTTTTCGGCAGTATAAGGCTGTAAATGAACTCTTGCTCTTCTTTAAACGTTTTAATTAATGAGTTTTAATACATTCCACTTTCAAGTTATCAAATAGCTAAAAAAAAAAAAAAATGGAAAAACCAGCACAAAAAATATTTTGAGAAGTGAAAAACAAACGATTCTGGAAATTTTCTTTTCATTTGACGTTGTCAATGAAAACCAAACACAGAATTGTACCTTCATTAACTTTTGAAACATTTTTTTCAATCCAGTTCGAGAAGAGTCTTGCTTTGAGGGAAAGAAGCAATGCAAATTGCAAATGGTATGGATAACTTGGTGAAAAAGGGCAATTCAAAAGATATATGATAAAAATCATTTACCGCATTACAATCGTATTTCACGTGTAATTTTTTTTATTACAATCCTATAATTAGCTAATTATAACAATGAATTATATAAGAGTCCATTATTTAAAAGTATGGACGTTATATAATTTTTTACAAATTTTATATAATATTAAATTATAATTGATTAATTACATTTTCAGTTGATATATTCCTTTAAACTACGTAATCAAAGTTATGAAAATATTTTATTTGTTATATAAATAATAATAATAATAATAATAATAATGATAAATAGAACACAATAATTTTATGAATTTTAAATAATTAAAAATATAATAAGAAAATTTTTTTAATTAATTTTAACTTCAATAAATTAAAATGAAGATATGATGTATATTTTTATTAAAAAAATTTAAATCTAAATCTCATTGTTCATCGGATGACGAAAGAAACTCTCATGCAAAGCTGAAATCTGATTTGTGGCTCGCTTACCAAACAGAGGATCAAAAGCCAACATCGAACTTGATTAAATTTGGGGATAGCAACATCTTATTCTTTCATTTGATAGCTTCAAACAAGCATAGAAGTAGCTTTATTAAAATAAATTTAGGTGAACGATAAAGAAGTATTCAGCCCTGAGGATATCCAAGCACAAGTAGTTAAGCATTTTACAAAGCAATATAGTGAAAAGTTCTTCCCTCGAGCTTTTAAAGGATTCAACTGCTAGTTCAAGAAATTCAGAGATGACCAATTGATGTGCTTATATTTTATACGTTATTTTTTTACCTTCTAACTTAAAATTTATGACATTTTATTAATTTTAAGTTTTGTTTAATGGAGAAATTAAAGAAAATTTGAGGATAATTAGATAATTAATTGTCTTATCTTAAATATTAATGAATAGGAAAATTATTAAATAAACTTATTTGGGGAGGGACGTTCAGGGTTGGTTATAATTGAGTCTAAGAAGTATGAATTAACCTTTCATCTTTTAATTTAGTAATTAAGAGACTTTGATGAAGACACGTGGGAATGAATTTTAACTCCGCCACCCCCGTTTCCTATAAGGATTTTGTTATTCTATGAAAAAAAAAAAAAAAAAAGGAAGCATTAATTAATTAATGTGGGCTGGGATGTAACTTGATGACGTCACTCGTAAAGTAATTTAGTTTGGATCGTGATCACTTCAGCTCGATTTTATTATTTTCAAGCTGAATAGTGATCAAGCTGCTCAAGTAACAATCAAGGTGAGTTCAAATGTTTGTAATACAAACTTGTTTTCAGCAGTTGAAGAATTATGAATACTTTTTTAAATTTTTTAATGTTTAATACGAATAATCAAAATTTAATATTATTTTTAATTTTATTTGAATTTTGAAATAGAAAGTTAGTATTTATTTGGTCAGCTATTTATTATTTTTTTAAATAAAAGGTTATCCGCGTATGTAACTTTTTACATTAAAATTCATAAATTTATTTTATTGGTGTTGCGATGTTATGATCTAAATCCAGAAATTATATATCATGAGTGAAGAAACCGACTGGCTAGAAGAATATGCTGGGAAGTAGCAAGCAACAGAAGATCACATAAAAATGTGAAGATATGTCAAAGGGAGAAAACTTAAAATTTTGAATAGTACTCATAAACTTGTTTAAAATTTTATGAAAAAAAGTTAAAGGATTAAGTAAAGAATTTACAAAATCAATGGAAGCAAGTAAGAATAACAAAGAAATTGAATATAGGGTTTGACTTAAATGATTTATATAATCATTTATAATAGGTGATATTTAACATATTTAAAATTCAAATTTTACATTCCTACAACTCATTTAATTATTATTTTCAGGCTATGACCTCCTCTATAAAGTTAAATAAATAAACTTGAAAAACTTATGAGATAAAATAAGGTTTTTCCAAAGCCACAAGGGGACCAAATATGCACACTTGCCCGAAAAACAGAAAAGGATAATTCAATAATTTATGCAAATAAAGTAAAAATTTATATTTGATGCATTATTTTAGTATATAAATTTTATATATTATTAATCAATTATATAATGCTATCTTATTAATGAACAAACATAATTTTTTTTAATCTTTAAAATAAATACACAAAAATTTAACTTTTGTATGCTAATTATGCATTAAATATAAATTCACAAAATAATGATGGTAGTACAAAAAATATGTAACTTTTCTTGATTTCTTTTCATATGCAGGTAAAAATTTGTTACATTGACCTTTTGTTTATATGGAAGCATTTCATTTATAATAATTATAGTATAATTAATTAATTATAATTTAGAATTATGTGCAATTCATCACAATATTTATAGATCTTATACTTATAAGTGATGGAATCTTACATAATTTTTATTGTATTTGACTAATTATAATATTATAATAAAAAAACTGTAAATGATATGCTCTCTGTCTATATTATTAGTGCCAAAATTTTAATTCTACTCGTATAATTAATTTTAATTCTTTTAGAAGATTTACTTATATTAGGTTCTCCTTCGATATTCAAAGCAGAAAAAAAAAAAATAATAACGCAGAATTCGGAATAGGGATTGCATTGCAACACTTACTATTATTATTATTATTGTTATTATTATTACAAAAACTACGAAAAAAGGAAAGAAAAAAACACTAGCTACTCTGAAGTCAAATACTCGTTGCCCTCAATTTTTATCGCCTGCGTACAAGTAGTCCAGCAAAACCGAGAAACGGCCAACGAGTACGGATATATAGTATGAGGCATGTAAGTGGCAGACTTACTGATTTTCCATGCCTCTAAGGTTTATTAATTAGTTATGTTTTTTAGGAGGGTAGAAGTCATTGTCATGACATGGCGGGCAGTCCTCACGAAAACGACGACCCTCGCAGTAAGGATCAAGAGGAAAGCATCGTCGTCGTGGAGGCCTGCGTCGCGGTGGTGGTGGTGGTGGTGGAAGCTCTGGAATAGGTGGCGGTGGAGATAATTCAGTGGGCGGAGGTAGCGGTGGAGATAATTCAGTGAGTGGAGGTGGCGTGCATAATGGAGCTGATGGCGGTGATCTTGGTATAGGTTGGGGTTTGGGTTCTGGTGGTAGGAGGCGTCCATATCTGGTATCAAGTGGACAATATATGTGGTGTGTAGCTGAGACACTGGGCAATAAAGCAAGATAAACAACAGCAACTACTACTACTACTACTACTAATACTAAAAGACTACTAGTTTCATTCCCTGATCTTTGTCTTCCCATATCAATTTACTGCAAATTAAGTTTTGGAAATACCGTAATGCTTTATATAGGCAAGGCAAATCCCTAGCCCTGGGGGTTCTTTCTATTGTGTCGTGTACAATACTGATTTTCAAAATCTAAGTGCGTTTTAGGATCAGGCCTCCTTGTTTGAATAAAAAAATGAAAATCAAATGCTTGTCATGGTGGTGCAAAGTGTGGTGGCGATCACTAATTTTGATCCAACAATAACAACTGAAATTGGCTTATGTGTCAAAACCTACAGCCACAGATGAGTATGAGGTACTATTACTATCAGTGGCGTGTCGAGTAATTGACTCTTCAATTATATACTCGGGAAATAATTACTAGTCTGATTTATGATGATTATGTGGTTTGGACTGTATTTACCTAGATAATAATGAGAAAAAGAAATTAGACAACTCTTTTTGTATTGAATTAATGTAATGTAATCTGTCATAGACACAAAAATTGAAGTCTTCACCAATTATTTTTTTTATTTAGATGTGATTAATCATTTATGTGAAATTATCTTTTTTAATATTATTCTAAGGGAGCATTTGATTTAAGAGAACTGAGATTTTTTCCAAAATCTTGCTTGTGGGAATGTAATTCTCATGTTTGATTCATAGGTATATGATTCGTGGAGTTAATCTTAGATTCTTAATAATATTCAAAAGTTCTAAAATAAAAAATCTACCTCCTACAATTTTTTAAAATTTCGGGTAAAAATTTATTATTTTAACATATTTATTTTGAATAAAAAATTATATCATTCTATTTTACCTTTTTGAAAACCAATACATGGAATGAAACACAATAACAATTTTTTATTTAGACACGTTATATTAAAAAATAAATAGCTTAAATACTGCATTTATTGGAAACTTAACTTTATATTTAAGTATTATTTTTTTTCAATGTCAAATACAACATTTGTAGGGAACTAAACACCCTAATTGTTGATTAATTTTTTTTATCATGAACAAAACAAGCAACCACATCACTTTCCATGAACAAAAAGTCATAGTTACATTCAACTATGATCTTTTTCATGAACAAAACGTCGTAGGTGCTTATAAAAAAAAAAACAAACCATTTACCATTAACAAACTAGGAACCATGACATTTTTGTTTTCAAGATCGCATTTTTGACATAAAAAACGTGATAATTGTTAATAAAAACCCTTTTCAGACAATAAAGACCACTTTCAAAAAGTCAAATAACTCTTTTTAATAACGAAGACTACTTTATCTTTTTCAGACAACATTGTTGAGCTCTAATCAAAGCCTTTTCTTTTTTAACCAAATCAGCTTCAACCTTCGTGATTTCATCTTCGTTTTGTTCATTTTATCTTCTATTTATCAGTAAATGATCAATTTACTATCTATTACAAATGCTCCATTCTGCATTATTTGTTTGAATCAAATATCTTCCTATTTTGTTTGTTTAGATCTCACTTAGATCTTGACAATATTGATGTAGATTACGATGTTTCTATATTCAGAAATGATGTAGTATTTGATTTAATTTTTTTATATTAATTACAATATTTCTCTATTTAGAAATGATGTAGGAATTGTTTTAAACTTTTCTATATCAATTATAGTGTTTCTATTTTCCGAAACAACATAATATTTATTTGATAATTTATATCATTATATTTTATTTTATTTATTTTGTTTAATATAAAATACTATATTTGAATTCAAATATTGTAGGTCAAACACTACTATTATATTTAACAAAAACTATGTATTTCACATAGTTTGAAGGATATTATTATAAAAAAACTTTATTAAGTAATGTGATTTTCCTCCCAACTAAACAAAGGAATCTAATAATCCCATACCATATAGAATCACCTCTTGCTAGGAATTCACATTTTCTTGAAAATCACTTTCCTTCTTGAAATCCAAGATTTTGTGAACAAATGCCCTTAAGTGTAAACTAAGTGGCTTTAAAAAGAATAAAGTTTTGCCTACATCAGTAGAACTAAATTTAGGAACTGGTTATGTGCAAAGAAAGTTTTAGCACCCCATTATGCCCAAAATTAATACCAAATTAATCACATGTTATCTTGTTTAAGCCTTAATAAAAAATGATTTTTATTTCTTTTTATTTATTTACAAAATATTAATTACAAAAAATGATACAAGTATATTTACAAGTTTCTAATCATAAAATAATATATTTATACTTTTCTAAAAAATATAATTCAATTTTTATTTACATCAATTAAATAAATTAATAAGCCTAAAAGAAACATAAATAGAAAATAAATATGAATAAACAAATAACTAAAAAAACTAGCAAAACAAAATTATCTCATAAAAAAATTATTATCACAAATATTACCCCAAACTACATTAAACACCAAATAAATATAACACCATAAAAGAAAGTGTACTTAACTGATGCTCTTGGACCAACCTGAAATAAATCCTATTGCCAAGCAAATTTTTGCTTGATTCTGTTTACTTTAATATTATGTATATGGCTCTTTTTTTTTTTTTTGGTGATTCTTCTTCTCCCTTTGCCTAAGAATTTCTTCCTTAAATTTCAAAACCTTATGTTGCTTTTTCTTTCACTTCTTGATTCTTTGATTGTTGGTCATTTTTGAATAATCAATGGGCTCTTTATATTGGGATTGAAGAATCCCTTTTTAATTTGAAAAATTTTAATGCCAACTGAATATATCAAAATCTTGCCAAAATTTCTTTTCCTTCTTCTAAAAACTTGATTCCCAAGAAATACAAAAATCAAACTCAATCTTTAATTTTAAATCTAAATAAAATCACAATTTATGTTATTATTTTAACAAAATAAAAAATACTTTTGAGATTTAAATTTGGATTTAAAAAAAATAGTTTTTAAAACCCAATAATACAATTCAAGACCCTAGTTTTTAAAACCCAATAATACAATTCAAAACCCAATAATATCAAAAAGACCTTAAACAAAATTAGGTGTTTATAGCTATCTCTTTTTGCACATTTTTTATGAAATATGAATTATACAAAGACAGAAGACATCCATTTTGTTTGAGATAAGAAAAATAAAAAAAGGTTCTTCCTCAACAGAGACTTTGAAACTTTTAAGTCGAGCGCCCTGAATGAATAAGAAATGGACAACAGAGAGAATCAATGATTCTTATTCAACCGAGTTGAAGCTAGCAACATGTCGATTCCACACCGGAGGTTGGTAAGAACTGAGGGACAATGCCCCCCTAACCTACGCGGGCCTACCTGCGAAGCAACTGGTAGTTGATCGGGCGGGGGGGCGGTTTGCTTTCGTGCAACGCCCTCGCAGCAGGAAGAGGCAGTTGTCATTTGAAAGGAAACGCCCTTTGTATAGGGTTCCAGACCTGCGCACCCTGATGAAAAAATCTAAAAGGCTCTTTTTACCAGAGGTTTTGAAACTTTGATAATGTAAAATGCTCCCCTCACTAGAGTCTTTGAAACTTTGAAAATAAAATGCTCTCCCCCCACCAGAGCCTTTGAAACTTTTGAAAAATAAAATGGTCTTTCCACTAAAGGTTTTAAAACTTTTGAAAAATAAATGCTCCCCCACCAGGGCTTTGAAACTTTGGAAAATTAAATGCTAACTCATCGGAGGCTTTGAAACTTTTTGAAAAATAAAATGCTCATTCACTAGGGTTTCGAAACTTTTGAAAAATAAATCTACCCCTATTTAAGGCTTTGAAAAAATTTGAAAATTTAAAGTGCTCCCTTACTAGGGTTTTGAAACTTTTGAAAATTTGAAGTGCTCCCCCATTAGGGGTTTGAAGTTTTTGAAAAATCAAAGTTGGGATTTTTAAGATCATGCCCTAAGATTTTATAGATCACTCTCATTTTTTAAAAAGCTCATTTTTAATGAAGGCATTGAAACTTTAAAAAATTCTTACTTAAAGCAATTTCTTTCATCTCAACTGGATTATTATTGATCATCTTCTAATGTCTCTTTTCAAATTCATTTAACATCAATTTTCTTTTTCTTACTTTCTAAACATATGCAATGAATGTATGCAATGAATGAACATATTTTTCAAAATTCGCAAATTCAGTTTTAAAATTCAAATTTTGATTTTTCTTAGTTTTCAATCATGCACAACGAATGCAATGAATGATGATGTATGTAATGTTCTTTATGGATGTAATGAATGCAATGCATGAAATGCAAAATTTAATGTCATGTATCTCTACTTGTAGTAAATGGTCCTTAAGCTTTTCTCCAATTTCTTTTAACTTGAAGATTTCATTTTTCAAAACCATTCCTCTTAGCCATGGATTTTCTCCAATCCTTAAGCTTAGACATTCTCATTGTCTCAAAAAAGTCACTTTTTTTTCTTGATAATTACATATTTCTTATCCCCACAAATTCATGTCAATTCAAATATAAATATCTTTACCACAAATGCCCTAATATGACAACAAAAGAAATTGCCTCACATAACTATTTTGAAAATATGTGATCGAATCTTTTAAAAATTGGAGATTACTACATAGAATGATAGAGGTAAATCCCAACTTGGTCTTTCCAAAAGGGCAAAATGGTTTGACACATCAAGATTTTAATTATCAAAAAAGATTTTGCCACTAAATGGGAAAAGTAAATAAATATTTCTTCATCTAGGCTTACAAATGAAAAGTTATTTTTTAAAAGCATAATCCATTTTTTGCACTCTCTTAATTTCTTAGTATGGTATTTTAACAAATGTTGAGACTGATTATGATAGGCTCAAAATTTCTGGGAAAGAAAAAAAGGCTCAAATTTTAAAACAAATTTTTAGATCAAGGTTCATCTTATTAGATTTGTTAAGGGTTTTCATTGTTCATTCAAAATACCTTCTTCTAATGAAATTGCCTGAGTTGTGTTTAAATTTTCAATCTTGCTCCAGACTGCTCTTTCGGGTTTTTACTTTAGAGCTTTATTCAATCTTTTTTTTCTTTTTTTTTTTACCATTCTAATCATGCATTTGAAAACTTAAAATTCATCTAAA